ATCTTAGAGTAAACTCCACTGCTTTTCTGTTCGTTTTCCTTTGCATACCACCCACATTGTATCAACATGCCTATTATCCTAGCTACAAGCACCAATCAAACGGCAGAGCTCCCCAGCCATGATACTACTGCAGTCAATGTCTTTCCCAGGTCACAGGTTGGCTTAAGGGCCTGTTCTCAGCTCCTCTGATTAGCTCGGAGTTCTGCTTAATTACCTAAGGCAAGATGTGATTGGTGGATTACTGTAGCTTGGGCTAGGATGACATCACTCTGGTGCTAATTTAAAATTGGAAAAAAATCCATCAACTGTTGCACTGCAATACTCAACTCACAATTGATTAGACGAAGATGGAAGATGTCAGAAGTAAATCGTCTAAGAAGAAATGTCATGATTACCACGAGGTTTATTCGGAAATTGCAGCAGTTACTTCTTCTGCAGGTATGTTAAAACAAGAGAATTAAATAAATGAATAACATTGTAACGTTCAGATACTGGGTTCTAAATGTCATATGATTCCACTAATGATAGATGGGATGTTTGATGAAGGTACTTAATGCGTAACATTCTAGAACTATTGTATGGTCAACGTCTATCCTTAAAAAAATGGTAAATGTATATTAATCTTATAATGTAACCTATCGCACAAATAATAATATTTCTGTCACAAAGAAAATAGGTCTATTATTTTTTTTTTCAAACAAGATTGGAAGATATTTAACCTTTTTAAATACTATAATTAGTTTAGAAGGGAATCATATCATACTACGTGTTGCTACTTTTAATCCACTTACTGCTTTATATATCATGAGAGCTAATCATATATTTATTTACCTAGTGAATATACAATCTGTTTCTAACATCTGGTATAAACATGTATAGTTATTGAAAGTACCAATACTGACATTACCTGTCAAATTAATTGGTATTGTTGTGAAGCTTTTTACCTACAAACATCTGTAATGTGCATTAAGGGTAAATATTCTCACTTTAGTTTCTACTTTCCGTCTCCCTAACCCAAAGTCATTCTATAGAACCAATGTTTTAGATTATAAACTGGTACAAAGTACACACGAGAAAATACAAAGGTGTGAAAAGCTACAAAAATCTTTAATCAAAATTATTTGAAAGAAAATGTAAATACCCCGACCGCCTCAGTTATAATTTGTTTTATTAGAAATAAGTATGCATATGTAACTCAAGCTGATTACATGTTTGCCTATCTATTGGACTGTTTCTAGAGGTATACTGAATATGGGAAGACCAATGAATGAATAGACAGACAGACAGACAGACAGACAGACAGATAGACAGACAGACAGACAGACAGACAGATAGATAGATAGATAGATAGATAGATAGATAGATAGATAGATAGATAGATGGATGTTTGGTCTGTCTGTCTGTCAATTTACGCTATAAACAAGCAGTTATGCTAATAATTAAAACTGATAATATCAGCAAGTAGGGTTAAAAAATCAGCTAATTGAAGAAAGTGATTCGGGATGATCAACTAAATAAGCGTTTGGAAAGACCGTCAGGGATATTCACACGGTTATTTAGATCTACATGTTTGGGAATAAAAAGTGAATTCAAAACAAGTTTCACATTTTAGGTTAAAATAACTGAACTGAAAATGTAGCTGATCTGGACATTTTTATAATTCCAAATCCCAAATTCACTCTGGTTTAATTTGTATTTGCCCAAACTCACACTTTATAAGGTCGTACACTATGCTAAATAAATTCAAATCCAAATTTCAAAAATTAGGCAGAGATTCTCCAAATCCCCTTTAACGAAAGTTTGGCTAAGTTTGCATAAAATTTTGCGATTCGGATTTCAGTTTGAAATAGCATGAGGTTTTGATAATAATTTTATGTTTTCACAAGACCAGTAGGTATGACTTATTAATGAGGACATTAGACTTTTTAGGACAAGTTGAAAGATATATTTTTTTCAATGAAGATCTAAAATTTATAAATTTCCTGCTTTAATGTATATTCTCCTTAGTGAAGAGATTGTGACACTATGATAAGAGTGAATTTCTGCAACATACTATACATACACGTGCATTATTCTTATGAGCATTATCCTACATTTTTCGCTGCGTACCCAGTTCTGTTTAATTTGCATTGCTGCTCAGAAGAGAAGAGTTAGGTAGTACATTATTATTATTTTATTATTTATATAGTGCCATCAGATTCCGTAGCGCTGTACAATATATAAATGATACACTTGGATTTTTCCACTTAAAATAGAGCATTGAAGGGAACTGACAAAGAAATTACGATAAATTATTTTTGGTAAAAATTCCTGACCTGTAAAAATTCTTCAGGTTGGTTTCTTGGATCTAAAACATGCAATGCACTGTTTAGAGCATAAACCCTACTGTGTGCACGTTATTTAGACTTTTGCCCCAGAATTTCCCATTTCATTGTCAATAGATTTGAAAGTGATTTTTAATTTGTCTGAGGGTTCAGTCTTTTTCACTACAGACATGGCATTAACAATGTAATTTGCAATGCACAAAATTTGATTTAAAAGCAGTCTCCAGGCATCATAGCAACTACAGCTAATTGTAATGGTTATACAGTAAAAGGCTTTTGATTAAAAAAAAAAAAAAAGAAAAGAGTGGGTCAGTTCGCACCCCTTGTGTTTGGGACAATGAGGTATAGCAGCCGTGTTGAAATGGTGCAGCCCTCTTAGTGTCACGTGATGGACCCAGACTCCTGTGAAAATTCAACAGATATGGAGTGGTCAGCAGTAATTTGTCCAGATTATATTGCACAATATCCACAACTTTTCCATTTGTATATTTCATTACAATGGAGTCACAACTGGTTTGCTTTGCTGCACAAATTTGCATGTTATAGTTATTTTCCATTTCACAACAAATACGTACATTATTTGGTATGTAGTGCCAATCAATGGTCACTATAGGCACCAAAACAACTTTAGCTTAACCCCTTAAGGCCCAAACTTCTGGAATAAAAGGGAATCATGACATGTCACACATGTCATGTGTCCTTAAGGGGTTAATGGAGAGGTTTTATTGTATAGATTAGGGGTTCCCATATGTTTTAAAACTACAGTTCCCATGATGCTTTGTCATTTGAAAGGCATGCAAAGCCTCATGGGAGTTGCAGTTCGACAACATCGGTATAGATCATGCCCCAAACAGTCTCACTCAATTGGTCTGTAGGGGTTAATTCACTTTGTTTATTCAGCCTTAGCCACACCTCCCTAGCATGTGACCTTCATAGTCTATCTACACATTCCCTGTAATGAGAGATCTAATGCTTAAACTCCCTTTATTGCAAAGTCTGTTTAATTTAGAATTTCTTATGTCCTGTTCTGTTAATAACCTGCTAGACCTTCTAGGAGCCTCCTGTGTGTGACTAAAGTTCAATTTACAGAGCAGAAGATAAAAAAATTATAATGTAAACAGTGTCTGAATGATAACAAAACCTTTTTTTTTCATGCAGGCTGTGTGAGTCACAGCTAGGACTGCATAAACAGAAAGAAAAGTAAATTAAATCTAATATGGCAGAGGATTGAGCAGTGAGACGGCAGGGGTATGATTTATACACCAAAACTATATCCCTTTATGACACCCCTTTGGCATCCTGTTAAAATATGTTTCCCCCTCAAACCGTGAGCCCACACACACATTTACCTAACATTCTGTTAAAATTAGCGTTAGGGATTCATTTAATTTAACCCTAATTGTTATTCTAACCATAACTCTCAATGTTATCCTGAAATTAATCCTAGACATTATTCTAACCCTGGCTGTTAGCTGAAGAGTTATACATTTTATGGCAAGACAGGAGGCGAATATTTGCTTTACTTTCTTTACTGAAACTCCCGGCAGCAAAGAAACAGTTAACAATCAGTGTAAAAAAGTTTAACCAATCAGCAAGCATGTATCACAGTAATATAAACTGTCATCAGGCTCCTCCCAACTCCTCTTTCTTTGCTGCTTAGCCTCCAGGTGAGTCTATTCTAATTATATCCCTATTAATAGCTCTTTTAACTGACTATTATCTTTTTAATATCTTGCTCTTTTAGCTGTCAATAATCATTTAATTTATTATTATTTATTTAATATTTATTAAAAATGTGAAGTGTTTTCCATTTTAGTACACTTAGTGGGCTGACATTCCAGTCAGCCCAAAACTTTATATGACTTCCTATAGTAACAGCCTACTTAGTTTGTGCTCTGTCAAATTAATTAGATCACTGACAGTTTCGCCGCAGCTCCCGGTTGTTCATCCGCTCTGTTACTGTGCTCGCTTGCCTTCCCCTCAGCGTCTCCATGGTGATGCGTCCCGCCCTTTCTTCTGTGCCGCGGCCATCTCTCTTGCCTTTTTCCTGGGCATTTTGCTCGGGCGCCATCTTGTGGACGGTCTCTGTGCGGCGGTTTTGTTTGCATTCAGCTCCTGATCTGTGCTTGCAATCCAGCCGTTAGGTAAGTAAATGTTTTTCTTCTTAAAGCCCCAGACCATTATTTATTTATTTATTTAAAGGTGTACAAACCCACAACTCAAAATATAAATTTTTCTGTTACAGATTCCCAACACAAAAACAAGTGCCTTAAACCCTTGCATTACCTCGAGGGTGACCCCCTCTAGTCTTTATTCTGAGGGTGACCCCTCTAGCCTCTATTTAAGGGTGACCCCCCTTTTGCCTCTATACAGGGTAACCCCCTATATGATTACACATGTACATACCTGTCATTAATGTTGGACGTTATATTGTCCTTTTTTTTCTTTCTCTGGGTGAACCCCACTGATATACTGTGGATAAACCCCACTTGTCTAACAGGTTAATTCTTTATGTATTTGACAACTCTTGTTTAAAGTCCACCGCCTCTTTGTAAATAGTTGTCTGCACATTAAAAAATAAATAAATAAATATATATATATATATATATATATATATATATATATATATATTATATTATATTATATTTTAGTGGTGAACCCACTGTTTTTGACATTATGTCCGATTTACCAGATCCAGCAGTCTCTGCTGAACTTAAGGCATGGCTATATAATGCAATTGCCGACTCTATACCCAAAGCTTTAGCGGCTTTCTGCGAGCAGTCAGTTCCAGCCCCTACAACGACTATTACCCAGCTGTCAGACTCCGAGGAGTCTCATGGTTCAGACTGAGATGAAGTTACGCGCAAGCGCCCCTGGAAGGACGATAGCACTACCGCCGGTAAAGGCAAAGCGCCTACCAAACACCCTAGAGTTTCCTTTTCTAAACCCAGGGAGGCTGTCTCCCAACATGATTTTGACCCACTTGAGGGTTCAACCTCTAATTATAATCTTCAGGTGGTAGATGAATACTATGCAGAACATTCGGATAACGATGCTCCACCTCATAAGACATCCCGAGACCTTTACCCTTCTGATTTCACTAATGAGCCCTCCCTCATACCAAATCAAGAGGAATTCCATTTGGAATCTGACCTAACATCTGATCCTAACTTAAAAGATGACACCTTATTTGACACCTCTGGCCGCCCTTTATTTGACCCTAGATGCATCAGGCACCCTAGATCTGCCAAATGGACACCCCCGACCACATGCCAAATACTGTAGAATGAGTCTCCGTCGGCCTTTAGAAAAAGAGGTGAGAGCCAAATTGAGGGCAGAATTCCCAAGTCCCATTATCCCGGACAAGGTGGCCATTACACCTGAATTCGACCCCTTCCTTTTTACCTTTCTGACCAAGTCAGGGAAAGACCCCCGTAAGGGTCTTGAACAGGGTCTGAGAGCCACCCAAGATAAACTGATGGATGTGGCGGGCCCGCTTATACAAATTTTCATTATAGCAGACGAGGCTCTATCAGGTGGCACTTTTGACGCACATATGGTGCGAGAGTGGGCACAAAGGGCTTTATGCCGTTTAGGCAATGCCAATTTGGCGATCTCGACAGAACAGCGAAAGGCCGTCCTTTATAAAATCGATGCCAAGCTTGCCGAATTGGGCATTAAAGAACTTTGTCCAGAGGCTCAAGGCATGTTATTCGGAGACAAGTTCATAAAAGAACTAAGTAAACATGTCTCTGTATTTACTACGCTAACTAAAGCGCAATCCTTCATCCGCAAGGTGTTTCGCACACAACGTTTTTCCGGGAGGGCTGGTCGCTACAGAGGCCAAGCGACTGGCAGAGCCGCCTTCACAGGCTACAGGCCTCGACCCACAGACCATTGGAACTCGATTCCACCACAGGCAGTTTTTCCCCTCTCGCGGAGCTATCCGAGGACGTGGATCTGGTTCCCTCCGCGGTTGCACTGCTACAGGTAATGGACCTTACTTATTCTCATATTCCTATTGCAGGCCGGTTAACCCTTTTTTTTCCAACAGTGGTCTCAACTCACTCAGGATCCTTGGATCCTTCAGACTGTGTCCGGGTTCCACCTGGACTTTTCAGACGAACCGATACAAAAATCTCCTCCTATCCCGATCAAGATGTCATTGTTAGACGAGTCTACTCTTCGGAGCGAACTCAACAATCTATTCGCCAAAGGTGTGATCGAAAAAGTTGTTGGCCCACAGATCTTCATAAGCAACATGTTTCTGGTCAAGAAAAAATCAGGAGACCTACGACCTGTTATCAATCTGAGAGATCTGAACAGGTTCATCACATACCGTCACTTCAAAATGGAGGGAATCCATTTATTAAGAGACCTACTCTGCGAGGTAGATTGGTTCTCCCGCTTCGATCTAAAGAATGCATACCTCACGGTGCTGGTAACACCAGCCCACCGCTGCCTCCTTCAGTTTCGTTGGGAACAGGAACTATGGCAATTCACCTGCCTCCCCTTCGGCCTATCTTCCGCACCCTGGTGCTTTACCAAACTAATGAAACCAGTAATGGCATTACTGCATTCCCAGGGAATCCAGTCCATCGTTTATCTGGACGATATTCTCCTCATGGCGCAGGACCAAGAGACTCTTCACCTTCAGACAGCCATGACCTCCGCTTTGTTGCAGAACCTTGGCTTCGTGATCAATCGCCAGAAGTCTTCTCTCACTCGGTCCCAGACGGTACAATTCCTGGGATTCCAGATAGATTCTGTTCAGGCAGTCCTACAACTTCCAGTAACCAAAATCAAATCCATAAAAAAGGACATTCGGAGATTGCTGATATCACCATACCTCTGCCTGCGAGAACTAGCTCGCATCATCGGCCTGCTCTCCGCTTCAATACAGGCAATACTCCCTGCACCATTGCACTACCGAGCATTGCAACGCCTGAAGACGCAATATTTACATCAGTCGACATCCTACGATCAACAGATCACACTCACAGACGAAGTCTGGCTAGAACTCCATTGGTGGCTACACCAAATGGACGCTTGGAATGGGAGAGCCATCTTTGTATCCCAACCCGATTTCATCCTGGAATCAGATGCAAGCCTGCTCTGGTCCCATTCGGAACGAGCACTTCATATCAATTGCCTCGAACTAATTGCGGGCTCCTTCGCAATCCGAAGTTTCGCCAAGGATGTCTACAATTGTTCCGTGGTGCTGAAGATGGACAATGTCTCAGCGGTTCGCTACGTGAATCATCTAGGAGGTTCCAAATCAAAGATGCCTTTGGACCTGACCAAGGAATTGTATCAGTTCTGCCTAGACAGGAATATCTCCCTGTGAGCAGAATATCTACTGGGATCAGACAACCTCGTCGCAGACTGGTTCTCCCGACATTGGAGAGATTCCAGCGATTGGCAATATTTAATCGTCTCCAGGTCTGGCGGGGCCATTCAACCTGGACCTGTTTGCGTCTCGCAGCGTGCCTTGCAGTCGATGCCTTCTTACAGACCTGGCCGATGTCCGGAGCATATGCGTTCCCTCCATTCTCCATGATCTCGTGCACACTACAGTACCTCAAAACTCAAGGTGTCAAGATAACTCTGGTAACCCCCCTATGGCGGGCCCAACCATGGTACCCTTGCCTTCTGGAAATATCAGTGGATTTTCCCCTGCTTCTACCCACCTCCTGTAACCTCCTCAGGGACCCGGCAGGCAACTTTCACCCGTTGGCAATCCAGGATTATTTCCGACTGGTGGCTTGGAGCGTTTCAGGGGATCTTGGAATGTCTCAGGCCTTTCGACTACTGCTCAGGGACTCCTTTGGGATTCATGGGCCCCAGGAACCAGACGCTCTTACATCTCCACATGGCATCATTGGAGTTGCTGGTGTTTGGAAAGGAACTTTGATCCCTTTTCAACATCTATAATTAATATTATCAATTTCCTGTCATCTCTGTTCGATCAGGGTAAATCCTACCGGACTATTAATGTGTTTCGATCTGCTATTTCCGCAGCGCACATTCCTATTCTGTGTGTAGACTCTTGCGGGGCATCTGCATCGCTAGACCTCCGGCTCCCAAATATAATCAATTCTGGGACGTAGCTCTCATGCTCACGTTCTTAGAAGCTTGGCCAGACAACGAGGCGCTCTCCCTATGCCAATTGTCAGCCAAATTAGCTCTCCTCCTTTTCTTGGTCTCCTTCCGAAGAGTCTCCGAAATCAGGGCTTTCGACTTTCATGCCCTCGATTTCACATGGGAAGAGGTGCACTTTCACATCACTAGACTTTACGGAGAAACCACTTCTCTGCGTAACCCGTTGCATAAGACACTATATCTCTCGCTCTTAGACCACCTACTAGGCTCCTTGTGTCTTATGTGCAACCACACAAACCAGTCTCGAGCCCTACTATTGCTCGGTGGATTAAACGGCTACTAGCTCTGGCTGGCATTGATGCGTCCTTCGGGGCTCACTCGGTTAGAGGCGTGGCCGCCTCCTCTGTGTTAATGGCTGGAGGTTCCCTGGCGGAGATTTTGTGTGATGATCGCTCGTCATCTCTGTTTCAAGCCTTCCCTGCGAGTTGAGCACTGTTTTTCATCCTATCGGATGCTTACACCGTTACCTACTCATCGTTCTAATGGTTCTACGTTTACATGGTTGACTCTACGACTGTTCGGCTACATCAAGAAAGAGGAATTGGGAGGAGCCTGATGACAGTTTATATTACTGTGATGCATGCTGATTGGTTAAACTTTTTTACACTGATTGTTAACTGTTTCTTTGCTACTGGTAGTTACAGTAAAGAAAGATAAGCAAATATTCGCCTCCTGTCTTTAATAAAATTTAGATTATTCAGTCACTAAAAGTTAGAATAATCCCAAATTTACATTTATGAAATAACTCCCTAACCCTATTTCTCACATTAGCCTTAACCCTAAATGCCCTAATTCCCTGTGCTGTAGTGCAAACCTTAACCCTGTACCATTCTGTATCGTTAAATTTATTTTATGGATCTCCTTGAGAAGTCTCTTCAATCAGTGTTCATGTGGGTTCTTGAGGTAGGAGTACTGACCATTGCTGAGCTCTGAAGTGGTACAGCTTGTGACCGGACCTTGAGGAATCTATAAATCTGCCAGGGTCCTGCTTGGCCATGCTCAGCCACTGCTGTTGTTCCCCATCCAGACACCGTGTTATTTTTGTACCTTACCCTTGGGAATAAAGATGGTGGCTAAGTGCCAGTTTCAAACAGTATCCCAGATACTGCACAATGTTCAATTAATAAGTTAAGGTTATATTCCTGCTTACTGAAAGGGCTAAACAGCAGTCCAAGAGAAGAAAGCCTTATTTTAAGTCCTGAAATTTATATTGTCCTGGATCCTTCACACACGAATAGAATGTTGAGGTTATGAAAGATTAAAGTCTGAACTAAATGTTACTACCTTGAACAGTTATTGAAAACAAGATCCCAAATGAGTGGGCGCAATCAGGTAGTATCTTAAAAAGTGACTGGGTTGGTCTTTGTTTAATGGGCTGTCTAATTACCTCCAGAACTAGGCAACCTTTGGCACTCCTGATGTTTTGGACTACACCTCCTATGATGCTTTGCCAGCACTATGGCTGTAAGAGCATTATGGGGGATGTAGTCCAAAACACCTGGGGTGCCAAAGGTTGCCTACCCCTGATTGTAGTCTGTGGTGGGTTTGGCCAGCAAATTAATTGAGTCATAAAAACGTAGCATTATGTAGTGGCCAGCATGGCACTGGTGTTGGCGATGGTTCTTTAAGCCACTTGTTATTGCAGAGGCATCTAATGGACTGCAGCTCACTACTGACAGGGAGGAATGACTTAAAAGGCTCCAACTGTTAAGTGGTGTCTAACATTGTAAGGAGGAATGGGAAAAGGAAGAGGGGTCTGAGATAGCAGGGAGAGTCTGAATTAAGGGAGTTAAAACGTCAGGGGCATAGAAAAACTGGGTGGAAGAGTGTACTTAAATGTTCAATGAATCATCTAATGTTATGGGAAAATCTGTTTCAGATATCGACAATTCATATAAAACATTTCCAGATGCCTCCACCATAGATGGCAACTCCATACTGTCAAGCAGCAGACACGTTCCTCCTCATTACCCAACTCCGACCCGCCGAAGGCATCGCACTACATTCAGCCAAGAACAGCTAGAGCACTTGGAAACAGCATTCAATAAAAATCACTATCCAGATATCTACTGTCGTGAGGAATTGGCAAAAATCACCAAGTTAAATGAAGCACGAATACAGGTAAATAAAAGAAAACAATTAGAATATTATGTACACGATCTTATCTTACTGTGGTGGTTATGTCAAAAAGGGTTTCTGGACGCTGTTTCCTGGTTTATTAGGAGTAAATTCCCAAAAAGCATGGATCTCTACAGAACCCAGAGACCATCTGCTCCTCGCCCATACTGATAATTCTTAATGTACACTTATGCCTTATTAATTTCAATTTTGGCCAACTTGGACAGCAAAGATACGATGAAATTGATGGAGCAAGAGTAAACCCGGCACTCAGTTTATTAATGCTGCCCATGTTCTAAAACTCATCCATGATGAAGTTGACATTGATAATGGGAAAGTTTAAATTCCTTGTTATCAATGTGGCTAATGAGGGGGTAGTGTACAGGTGCTGTGGAGAGCCCCCTGCTCCTAAAGAGTTTAACAAAGAACCTGGAGAGGCATTTAAAGCTAACATAACCACTACACTGAGTTGTACTTGACATATTGCTTGGATTATACATTTAAGAAAGGCATCTGAACACTTTAGAGTAGTTTTGCAATGGATACAGAACTTAATATATTATGTGAGCAAAAAAAAAAAAAGATATAAGTTGTATTATTTGCTAAAAAGTATAAAATGTAACAGAGAATTATACATGGTTGTTCCTTTAAATAATGCATTACTGCATCCAGCATGACAATTAAATGTAAAATTAAGAACTTCCCATGTATGACAGTATCCCTTTTAACAAATGTATACATAGTTTACATGTTGATGTCTTTTCTGCTTACCCCATTTATATTACATCGTATCACTATTCATGTTAATAAAGTGGCAACGCATTTTACAAAAGTGCTGCACTACCAGAAACTCAATTTTTTTAAAAAGCTCTTGATTATGGCAACGTGTCCATATATGAAAATGAGCAGCAGTCGGCTCGGAATGCCATGTAATGAAGCTTTAAAAAGATCTTCTAGTAAATATCGCAAATTGGTGGGAAAACGGAAGGATCGTAAGAAGAAAAGAAAATGAAATCATAAAAATCTAAGCGAGAAATAAAAGTTGTGGTAACATGGAGAACAAAAGAACATGTATGTGAATGGCTTGATGTCAGTCTAAAGAGGTCAGGCTGCTCTCTAAAAATTCAGGCTGTTATCCTTCCTATTTGGGCAGAAGATGCAAAGGTCAATTTGCTAAGCCTGGTGATGTAGCCACCTAGCTAGACTGAATAATGCTGGTCTTAGTAGTAAGCATCCTAGAAACCCAGTGAAAAGTGCAAATAAACTTGGACAAGTTAAGGTTCTAATTACTTCATTGACTACTTGTTCCACAAAGTGAATTAAGGAAAACGGTGGTGTCCTAATGGACATAATTCATGGTTATAATAAAGGAAAATTTTATTTTGTATTTTTTAGGTGTGGTTTCAAAATCGGAGAGCAAAGCACCGAAAACAAGAACGGACAAATCAGAAGTCTGCAACTCCCAGTGGCATGTTAGCTTGCAGCAGTCTAATGCCTGGCATGTGCTCCATGTCCTCTCCAGCTCGCCAGTATCAGTATTCACATGCTCTCAACCACATTCCCCGCTTCACATCCATGACCTCTACCGGCTACCATGCACCTCCGGCCGTCGGTCAATTCACGTGTACTAGCAATCACCCCCATTTGACATCGGCTGCTCCTCCATCCCGTCAGCATGACGACTGGTACAACTCCCTGCGATCTATCAATCCCCCAAGCTCCGGATTGTCTTCTTCCATGATAACGTTAACACCAATGGCTGCTTTAGATCCACCCACCCATTGGAATTAGCACTTCTCTGCTAGAACCAATCATGCCAAAGGGTCATTGAGACTTACAAGAAAACCCAAATATTATGGACATGAGTAAAATGAGGCAAAATATAAAATTGTAATTGGTTGTGGAAAACTAGTGTTTATGTGTTCCAAGCTGCACTGTAAATAAACTTGCTATTGCATCTAATCTATACAGCAGCCTTCACATCGTTTGACATTATTTTTACAAATACAGGTACAAATTTGAACACAAAAGTCGTTGTAATGACGTTAACATATAAAGACCTATGCAGATTGCAACTTAAACCTTTTATCGATACTTACGTTAAAGTGTGAAACCTTGGCTTGGGCTATATTTGTTATTCTAGCCTCCACAAACAAAGAACTACTCCACACACATAAAGCACTTTAACCCCTAACCTAAGCACCCTGTAACCGATATTACATACTGGGTTGATTATCTCAGTGAAGCTAAACTAAAGAGGCGGTAATTACTCAAAGCACCTGCCTCGCCATGATTTCTCATTGACCTACATCGGGAAGTCTGTGATTAGAAAGTCCCAGAAAGTCTAGGCGGGGTTAGAAGGGGAGGGATTCCAAATGCTGCAGACAAGAGATCTGCAGGTTCTACAAGCTGTTTTTAGTTATACTCCCAATGAAAAAAATGCATAATTAAATGCATGCAGGTTTTCAGTAGGAGTATATGTACTAATGGCGATTTTTATTTGGGAGGGGCAGGTATTTGGGAAGTGAATTTTCCCTTTGCCTAGAGTGGAAGTAAGACCTCTATGTATTAGAGCTGCCACTTATTTATCGATATTTGCAGAGTAAAGTAAGATAAACTTTGGCTCAGTTCAGACAGTAAAAAAAAAAAAAAAGTTAATTCCATAAATATTCTGTAGAATTACACAACATAGCTTACCAAATGCACATTTAAGATTATTACTCTTTAAACAGGAATCGGCCCTTTTGATGAATACAAGTACAATTGATATATTGGATTATAATTCATATGCCATCTGGGGACAGGTGTAGTGGAGAAGGGTGTTCGTAGAGGAAAAAAAAAAATGTATTTACTTTTCTTGCAATTAATCAATTTTTTATTTTTTACATTTTTCATAAAAACAAGTTTGTTTTTTTAACACAGTATTTTTCAAGCACTAAAACAAGTTTCTTTTTCCAAAATTAGATAAACAAATTTGAAAAGATAATTAGTTTATAATCACAGTTCTAAAAAAGAAAGCAATATTGTACATTTCATATGTACTAAAATATATTTTATATTATTTTTTTTGTTTCCTAAATAAAGTAATACAAAGAAGTGTGCTGTCAAACACACACACACACACACTTGTATCTCACAAGTAAACAGTGATTATGTTAACTATCAGGGTTATAAAACAATTATGGAGAATTAACACATTTTCAACCAAAATAGTCAGTTTGGACAAATTCTCCAACCCAATTATTTTTGCTTAAAATGTCCAATTCCCTTGTCAACTTACCACAATTCTTTAAAGAATAACCCTGTCTATACACCTGGTATAGGAATTAATTTTATTGTTAATAACAATAATATTGTAATACTGAAAGGATTTCCACATGTAAATATAAAAAGTATCATGTTTAATATTATTACTCTCAGCCAATCGTCACGGTCCTGGTTAGACAAAAATTGACAGACAGGAGGGGGTAGTCTCTGGGCATTGTGTAGAACTCAACGGTTTGTCTAACCGTTTTTATGGTGGTCGTTGACCAGAGACACAAGGCAAGCTGTAATGGTTATGGGTCTTAAAGTGCCCCTTCATATCTTATACTGACCAAAAGCCAAAAATCTGTGAATTATTTTCTGTTGAGAACAGGACCAGTGAATCTAAAAATTTAGGCCAAAATAGTCAAGATGGAATTTTTTTTTCCAACTGAGCTATGTTGGCCTAAACTTTGAAATTCTATAGTGAGTTCTTGATGAATAACAAAGAAAACCCTTAAATACAACCTTTTGAGTTTTATGTTTGTGATGTTTCTGCATTTTTTTAGGTCATTCTCTTTATGAAAGGTTAAATAGAGACACCATTGTTTTCCCTTCTGCTTATGTTTCCATGGACAAAAGCCCATACGCTATAACAATCATAATCCTGGATCATCACTATACAAACCTGATGGACAAGCGCTAAACGATCAACCACCAGATTACGATGGCAGCAAACACTGAACAAAGGGAACTCCTTCAACACCCCCAAAACTAAGTGCAAAATACAACAAATAAAAGAAGTCAAGATGTGCCTAGTAGAGAAAATACTTTATTTTATTTAACATCACAATATGAGATATTCACACTCACATGATATGGAGCTTCAGACCAACTCCAGTTTATAGTGGCTTAGATGAGATTGTACCACTATATGCCTAAAAAACCGGAGCTGGTCTGAAGCTCCATATCATGTAAGTGGAATATTTTGCAGTTATTGTTGCAGGTCTCCACTTACAAATTAGTATTGCACCATTGTTTTCTCTTCGGTTTATGTTCACATGTACACATGGACAAAAGCCCATACGCTAGAACTATCAAGATTTGGTGAACTATCTAAAATCCTGGATCGTAACCCGTTAACTTTCTCATACAGTGGTATCATATAAAAGAAAGTATTTTCTTAACTAGGCACAACCTGGCATGTTTTATTTGTTGAATTTTACACATCACTTGCTGATTAACTGCACATGAGCTGTCATAGTATATAGAATTTCAATGTTATTTAAAAGGAAATCAGTTACCCATATGAGAGGCCCAAAGGAATTGCATTACGTGATTGCTATACCCTTCTGGGAAGCACTTTTCATGAATTGACTGGGAGGCGTTACAAAGTGACCTGACCAAAATTCACACAGGGATATTCACTAAATGTATGAATTATCAGGAATCCAAAGACAATATAAAAATATTAGGACAATATAGATGGACTAGGAAATATCCCTAGAAAGCTAAGATTTCAGTGACTATCCCTGCCAATGAATTTGCCAACCCTACCCATAAAGGTGTACTCAGAGCACCATAGCCACTACAATTCCTTGTCTAAAAGTGTTTTTTTTTTTATCAAACTGTTATTGAAAGGTTTGACTAAGACAGGGGCTTTCCTCAGCACCTGTTGGAACCCCTCTGCTGCAAAAGGGGTCAATACTTTATGCCAGTAGACTAACTGGTTTTATCAAACTGCCCTCAGCAAAAAAAAAAAAAAGTAAAATAATAATGCAGATATACTAATAATATAGATTGACCTAACTATGCTATTTATAAATTAAATCATTTATTGAAATTACGCCTGTGTACATATCTATATACAAGGAACATGTGTACTGTATGTAGATTAGAATGTCCAGTTCTGTTACATCACTTTAAACAGATATGTCTCACAGAAGCAAGCACTCAAGTATTATAAACCAATTCAATCACATTTCTCTGGGTCTCGTTTTGGTTAAAAAAAAAAAAAAAAGCACAATGCAAGGTCTTTATTCCATTGATTTGGCAAACTCAGCATAGTCGATATATCCGTCATTATTTTTGTCATCATCTCGCAAAACTTCATCTATTAATTTAATTAGTTCTTCCTCTTTTATGGACTGTGTGTGTTCATCACCACCCTAAACCATCAGATAAAGATAACGTTAATAAGCAATTAAATATTCCACATTTAAAATGGACAGTTCATGGAACTTGGTTTTCACTTTTTCCGTTCTAAATGTTTTATTAAAGAAAATGTCTACATGTTAAATAGAATATGAAAGGGGGTGCATAAGCCCAAGGATTGAAAAGTTTGGATGTCTCCAAGTTATCAGCGAGTAAAGAATGAATATCAAAATTAAAACAAAAAATGATTTCTCCCGTCTTCTTGAGATTCTCTCCATCCCATACTCGACCTTTTTCCCCTCTCTTCTCGGATCCCTGCCCTGATGGTCTTCACATGGTGGCTACGGGGAAATGTAGTGCTAGGACAGGTAAATTAGTACCCTGTTTTCCTATTTAATAAGAGTTAACATGGCTGTTAACAGACTTGGCTATCCAGCAATTAAAGTGAACTTGTCATGCCAGGTTAAAATTTACCTCAGCTTCTAATGGGAGTAAAAATGTAATTTAACAACAGATGGAACAGCCAAACATATTTATCAATAGCATCAAGTGGATATTTTATTTACACAATTCTTTTAAGAAGAGTTTCTATTATTTATAAAGGTTCAAATAACAACACCTTCTGTTATACACCCACCTCTTTATGTACGTGTGAAATTGCAGTTGCCAACTCAAGGCCATCTAATAAATTATTGCCATCGTAATCATGCATTTTAAAATAGTGAAGTTGCAATTCCTGAGGAGACATCTCGGACTGCGGCTTTTCAACAACTCCTTCTAAGTGTTCCATGATATGGCTGGGAAAAGAAAAAGGAAATACGAAAACATCATGTTACATTGAGCCTTAAAGGGCTTAATTTTGTATGTTTGTATGTGCTTTTGTGCTACACAGCCATGTTACAATGTTGCCGTCCACCCTGGGGTTCACTATTAAGGGTTAATAAGTGGGTAGAGGTTTAGGATAACAGCCCTCTGTCTCATTAGAGATGTGACCTTTTGACGGAAGACAGCAAGGTTAAATGTTAGTGTAGTACTCACCCAAGAGGTTTTGCCTTGACATGGCAGGTGAGCTTACACTTAAATAGACAATAGAATAATACTAAAAAAACTGCAGTTATTTAAATATGCGTAGGGATTTACGGTAGTGCAAAAGTAACTTTTCTTTGCCTTTTATCATCTTAACAGATAACTCCTAAAACCAAACAATATATCAATTATCATAGTGAAGCATTGATGTAGAGCTGTTGATTTATTTACTTACCCCAGTACTGCCATTCACAGAGGTCTGTGAACTTTACGCTCGCCCTGTGATCTAGGCTTGCTCCTATCCCTCTCAGACATGAATGGTTTTTCATTGTAACACTTCCCAGTGCAGGTCACACATCAGTCATAAT